CCAGGACCAGGTTCGTGCATCGCATGCTGTCTCATGCGAAATGACGCGAGATTGAAGCGGCGGTCAGGCTGGGCGGCTGCTGAGGTTGTGTTGACTTGCTATTCACGCACCATCGATCTGCCTCTCTCGCCTGCATCGAGTCTGCTAGCTACATCAGAACCACGATCACAAAGCCGTTATTGAAGAATCTCGAGGCACCAGTGCTCCAGAATGCAAGCGATGAAGTGTGTTTTTCCTCCATGGCAACTAGGTAACACGGTGGGAACAGCTCACGAGGAGCATGTCTCACATGTACCAAAAGAAAATACGTTTACTTTCTGCGAATGAAATATGCAGAAGGCGTAGCAAGCAGGTGGATAAGATACGGTAACCAGAGACGGGGTCTTCGTGGTTAGGGGCACCCGTTGGACAGAACAAACGACGAGCGCCGCCGGAGCCTGGGTGGGAGCAAATGACGTATGGGCTCGACAACGCAGCGCTTGGGGGGTGGTACGGAGCGAAGCGGAAGCGGAACTGGCCGGATGAACAGAGCACGCATACATACGCATTGGGCAGGAAAATAGGAGCGACTTTTTTCGAAGTTTCAAGGTCAGGGGAATGGGAGGTTATATGTCCAGCAACATCAACAACGTCAGTGAACCACCAAAATAATCTACACTCTAAAGAATATGAGCAGCATTACCAGCTTCTTGTATTACATTTGGCCCTTCTCTTGTGCTGGGCCTGCATTTCCCGGCGTAGGATGGGTAGGTAGGTATGTGTGTTGCCAGACAGAGGTGACATGGTTATACTGTCTGTGGCGTTTTCGATGCCGTACTCACGCTCAGATGGTTTCAGTCCCAATGCAAATAAACCGTGCAGAAGCAAGTGGAGGTGTGATTCAGGATGGTTTCTTATTTCTACAGTGCATCAAGAGCAACACCGGGGTTTACAAGGCAGCTAACTTCCGTGTAGAGAAGGCACAGTTGGCGTTCCAGCCCATCTTAGCACCCGACCATTGGTTAGGTTTTTAGAATGCCCTCCGTTCCTTCCAGGTTCCATTATCGACGACAAACCCCTGCCGAGAAGGAAACATCTAATGTGGAAGGATCAGCCCACGGAAATGGACCGGGTCAGGTACCAGCCTACCTGTATCTTTGGTCTCGTCGCTTTCTCTTCTCATCTCTTCATATTCAGGTCTGTCGGCCGCCTCGCTCGGACAGTTTTTATCTCTCCTGACTTTCGCTATCTCTAGGAGCCCCATCTTCACCACGTCACGCGTATGTCGTAGCACTATCCCGGTACATACCAGCCGTCAATGGACAGGGCCGCGGGACGATATGAAGAGGAGACTAACTCCCGAGTCGAGTCAAACGGGCACCATTTCTTCGCGGCTGGAGCCCAGAGTTGACGACAAGTCGAGCAGCTAGTCGTTTGCCCGAGTTGAGGACAGCTCTCCCCCCCGTCCGCCCAAACTCCGCCGTCGGGGATCGCGGGTTGTCTCGGCCCTCAAGTCTTTGACCAACAATAGTAGGTGGTGCTCCCTTCAATATTCACAGCCGGTCCTGACTTTCGTAGCCTCCGATAGATCCGTCATTGAGCACCACGGAGCCATTCTTCTATCGCAAGTGACTCCCAGCACCAAGTCGCTCTTTGCACAGGGCTTGAGAAAGATGACAAACGCCCTGCTCCGGTCTCCGGCCGAGCCCACAGTCATCCATCGAGCGACAACACGAGGTCGGCCGCCGCTGCAGCACACTTTCCAGTCCGTGGGCACTAGAGACATCCGGAAAGACCGGGACAATTCGTTCAACTTCAAGAGCTCCAACACGGAGTCCAGCAAGAACAGCAACAGCAACAGCAACAGCAACAGCAACAGCAACAGCAACAGCAACAGCAACAGCAACTCAGGCAAAGCACTCAATGACTCAACCGGCCTGACCTCGCTGGACTCCAAGTCCAAGGCCTCTTCCTCAAGCAACGTCCACAAGAACACCAATACCGGATCGTCTGAACGAAAGCATCTCAACGTACTGAGCGGCAACAGCAATAATGGGAACCGCCGCAATCCCAATGCACGCTCCAGCCCAGATAGCAACCTGACAACGATCCAGGAAACGGTGCTTGACCAGGCATCACCCAGTGTGCTCACTGTCGAACGCGCAGCAGCGGCCAAGGTCTTTTTGGAGACTTACTACAACGAGCTGCTGGCCCCTGGCCCCAGTCCGCGGTCCATGCGACTCCGCTTGCGTGATACTGATCTCTATAATCGTGGCGAGCTGGACAGCTTGTCTACTGCGGAGTTGAACGCACACCTCCGCCGCCGTGAGAGCGACCATCTCCGGGAGATACGCGTGATGAAGGCGCGGAGCATGCGAGCCCTGTCTGCGCCTCGAGGTTCCCCTGAAGCCTGCTTGGTGAACGACTACGAAGTGATAAAGATTCTTGGTAAGGGAAGCTTTGGCGTTGTGAGGCTTGTCCGCGAGAAGCCTCGAAGAGCAGAGGAGAGTGGGGGCGACGGCTGGTCAGACGGAGAAAAGAAGCAGGTGTATGCCATGAAGGTGATCCGGAAGTCGGACATGCTGCGCACCAGTCAGGAAGGGCATTTGAGAGCAGAGAGAGATTTTCTGATTGCCTCCGAGGGCTCGAGATGGTATGTTTGACTTGTTTATCCCCCTGCCGCAGGGGATGTTATCCGATCTTTGATAACACTGTTTGGTAGGATCGTGCCGCTCATCGCGAGCTTTCAAGATGCTACAAACCTGTATCTGGTGATGGATTATATGCCCGGAGGAGACTTCCTCGGTCTCCTGATCCGGGAGAACACGTTGCATGAGTCGGTAGCACGGTTTTACGTAGCTGAGATGATTGTGTGCGTCGAGGCAGCCCACGCGCTCAAATGCATCCATCGCGACATCAAGCCAGACAACTTTCTGATCTCGGCGTCGGGCCATCTCAAGATCAGTGACTTTGGCCTGGCCTTTGACGGCCACTGGTCACACGACACGGCATATTTCAACAGCCACCGGTACAGCCTATTGAACAAGCTCGGCATCAACGTCGACGGCGACGAGCAGGACAAGATGGAAAGCCGCAGCCTCCAGGCCACCATCAAGTGGACAAGCGGCATCATGACGGGCATCGAGAAGCACGAGAAAAAGGACTTCGGCGACGGGGAACCGCTGCTCCAATGGAGGAATCGATGTGGCAACCGCACTTCTGCCATGAGCGTCGTTGGCACGAGCCAGTACATGGCCCCTGAGGTTATCGAGGGCAAGAAGTACGATGCAAGGTGCGACTAGTGGAGCATCGGCATTATCCTGTATGAGTGTCTGTATGGCCACACGCCCTTCTTGGCTGAGGAGGGCCGACAGATGACGAAGCAGAACATCTTGGTACGTTTGTTCATCATATGGCTCATGAACTCGGGAACAGGATACTCACATTGTCAACCACAGAGACACAAGGAGACATTTGGGTTCCCGGCTCGCCCGCCTGTGTCTCATCGATGCCAGCACCTGATTGCCTCGCTCATCCAAGACAAGGAAACCCGGCTCTGCTCCAAACGCTACCACTTCAAGGACCTGATCTCGTCATCACCGTCGGGCAAGCTCGGGACAAGCTCCAGCACAAACAGCCTCAATTCTCACGCCGCCCACGAACGCTCCACGGGACAGAAGGTGCTCGGGGGACCCCACAACTTTGCCGGCCGCTATGTGTTTCCCTACGACGCCGAGGACATCAAGGCGCATAGATGGTTCCGGGGTATCCCGTGGGACCGGCTGCACGAGCTCGAGCCGCCACACGTGCCTCAGCTTTGCGCCGTCGACGACACGCACTACTTTGACGAGGAGGACGAGATCAGCGACTGGAGCGAGAGCGAGTCGTCAGCCTCGGAGCAGAAAGCCGACCACCAGGAAAGCACGCTGAATGACAGCCCAGGGATTCTGCCCTCTGACCTGAGTACACAGTATGCACTGAATCATCCCATCAGCAATGACAAGGCGGCGCAGAATGTCCACCCCAGCGAGGCTCTCTTCACATCCAAGGCGCCGCCGCCAGATGCCACGTTCCCGGGTCTGCGTCCGCGCAAAGCAGAGGAGGCGCGCATCGCGCTCACGGGGTTCCGCCGCAGCGTGCAGAAATGGGCCGTGGCTGCCATCGCGGCTCCGTACGACTCGACGCGGCTCCGCAACATGGATGCCCAGATCGAAGGGCTGCCTGGCCTAACGCCGGCCGAGCGCGCGGCGCTACGCCAGTTCATTCGTGCGTTTGGACGCAAGGACCGCAAGCGGCCGAGAGATCGGCTGCTGCGGGATCGGCACACGCGCGGGGTTGTCATGGAGGTGCGCAAGAAGACGGCCTTTCTGGGATATACGTGGCGGCGGGTGCGGCCGCTGGCTCTGGATGATGCCATGGACTTTGCGGGTGAGGGCGGGGATGTTCAGAGGGGCGATGTGCAGGATCTCTGGGGAGGGGCGAGGCATGCACATGGGCATGGACGGCTGGGAGATGATTTCGCTGTGCTGAGATCGTTGCAGTGGGGGAAGATGAGTTTGCGTTGAGGTTGTTGACCTACCTGACAATCACGGTTGACTCGGAGGCTGAGGTTGGGCGTATATGAATATCTCTAGGGGTTTCTCTCAACTGGTCTTGTGATTCAGGGGTCGCTTGGAGAGTGTCTGTCTGTCTGTCCCATGGGAGCGACGAAGGTCATGGGAATATCGAAGCTGGAATAGAGATTAGAGAGTATTAGCATTATGAACCTGCATCAACAGAATGAGAGAGAGAGAGAGAGAGAGCCATTTTGACCTTGAGTCTTGACGGGTAGAAACGTGAAGTGCAAGTCTCCACCTGTCGTTAGGTAGGCTACTCACCCCTGAAATTCTGAATACACTCCACCGTGCCCGAGTCAACGATCCACCGTGATCCTCCACTTTCTCGCAGCGACGGGGCGGTGGGCCACTTCCTACACTACATGGACCGGATACTCGAGCAGAGTCTTCATCGAATAACATCCTGGTCAGATGGCCGAGCGGTCTAAGGCGCCAGCTTCAGGTTCTCCTGTTGAATTATCACCTCCTCTTCTGAGGAGCAATAATATGCTGGTCTAGTAATAGGCGTGGGTTCGAATCCCACTCTGATCATTCGTTTATCTTTTGCCTTTCCTATCATCCATCTCGTGGTGGAGGGATGGGGTGGTTGTTTTATTTTTGGTGGTTCTGTTTGGTTGGTTGGGTTGGTTGCATCGTGTTTTGCTTGCTTGGGTGTGAGGGAGATAGATAGATTGGTGTAACTGTGGGGTGGCGGTTGTTGTTTGGTCTGATTGAAAGATGCGGAGGTGCTGTTGTGGATCAACTACTTACTTACCTAGCTACCTAGATCACGTTGGGTGGTAAAGCTCTTTTCTTCTTTTGGTATATGTTTAGTTGTCTTTTGGTGTGAGTTGTGAGGTGTAGTGAGGAAAGTGAATGGTAGATTTCGGATGGAGTTGTTGTTGGGGGTAAAATGCTGGTCTTGGGACTAGGGATGGAAGCTTCATGTGCTGCGGGTTTTGACTCGCCCCATTGCAAATATTTGCTGTCTCGCTCAAGATGGACATGTTGTCGAGAGACTTGCTGTCCAGCATTCTAACGAGTCTGCTGGTGGAGATATAGGGGGCCATCTAAGGGGAGTATCTGGGCGGGATTGCTTGCTTGCTGGCTCACGAGCTGACTGGCATTGAATGTCTGGGACTGGAGTGGTTTATGCTGCCTTTTATTCAACAGCGGTGTTGCGTTGGATTGTGACTCTTTGTGATTGTGGCTGAGGGTCATGTACATGAATGAAGGTATCAAAATTATTTAATAGATTAGATCAAATATCAAGAATGGCTTCTCGATGGTCCGTCCAGGGGTATATTCCTCCTCTCATCCCTCCACTCTAGTACGTGGCATCCTCACCATCACTCGCCCCCCTCCCGAACACCGTCTTCCACCCTGTGGCCGCCATCGCCAGCAGCGATAGCCCGCGCATTCCGCACCTCCCAGCCAAACTCTTTCAACGCTCTCGCCTCTGCCCCGTTGAAGAACAGCAGCGCCATCAGCCCATCCACCGTCCCGGCTGCCAGCCCGAGACTGCTCACCAGAATCAGGAGAAACGAGACAAAATTGCGCGGGCTGAACCACACGGCCACGTAGCAGCCGATGGTGGCGAGGACCCAGAAGAGAAAGTGCCGCGTCCGCCACGTGGTCTGGGCGCGCTCGCGGCGGATGTATTGCGTGAGGTTGGCGAGGATTGCGTCGTAGGTCTGCAGGGGGAGCGAAGGGGGTTGATGGGCGGAGGTCATGCTGGGTTTGGGCGAGGACGGGATGGGGAGCGAGTGGAAGGAGCTAGTTGTCGGGGACTGCAGGTAGGTGCCGGCGTTGATCTCGAAGGTCTCTTTGGTTTCGGCGGTGCCTGTGGAGGTTCCCTTTTCCGGGTTGGGCTTGGCGGTGGTCGTGGGTAGGTGGGACGATACGGGGATTACGGGGCTTTCGATGACGGCGGCAGTGGGGGTGCTTGTGGTGCTGGGCTGGAACGCGAGCGTGGCTTCGACGGCGAAGTGGTCGCTGAGAGAGCAGCCGAGCTCGGGGTGGCGCATCATCATGCCCACACGCGCGCGACGGACAGTCCAGCTGCCGCCGAGGGCGGGGAGGGCGCCAGGCCCGACAAAGATGTAGTCTAGCCGCTTGCCTTTGTGGTCCAGAGTCTCAGGCGGTACTGGCACTTCGGGCTTTCCCCGTCCAAGTAGCTTCTGCTGCGCGGGAGCCCATCGCCATGTGTTGGTTGGGCCATCTGATGCAGCCCCGTTTTCGATGATGTTAAACTCAGCCGTAGGGACGGGGCGGTGGCGAGCCTGCTCCGCTGGGTGAACGGCGGGCCCAACTGCGCTGTCGGGGTGCAGAACCCGCCATGTGTCGCGGACGGGGGCGAGAGACGTGATGATGCGATACTCCAGCGAGGACGGGATCATGTTGAAGTCGCCCATGGCAAGCACCAGATGGCCGCGCTCGGCAGCACCGCGGAGCAGCTTGACCACCTCCCACGCCTGAGCGGTGCGGTGGCACTGATACGAGTCGTTAGGCCCATGCTCATAGGGGGCGTGTGTGTGCGTGTTGAACACCTCGATGACATGCTTGGGATCCGGGCCGTACCGGATGCGGGCGCAGGCAACGCCCTTGCCGACAAACCAGTCGCCGCGGAAGAAGGCTGTCGGCCGGCCGTTCAGCGGGTACCGGAACATGGTGCTCTCCTCGATGGGCCACCTCGACAGGATGGCCAGGCCGCCGCCAAAGGGCCCGCTGTGGTAGAACTTGCCATGGGGCAGGATGAAGCGCGTCTCGTGCCGGATGCTCTGGTAGTCCTCCTGGGTCCAGCACTCCTGCAGGGCCACGATGTGCGGCTGCGGGTCGGCCAGGGCGAGCTGGCGCCCGATCTCGGTCATGCGCTCGCGTCGCAGCTTGGAGATGTACTTGAGTCCCCAGCAGTTGAGCGTGACGAGCGAGATCTCGGCCGGTAGTTCCGCCATCGTCTCGTTACCGATTCGGGCTGTTGGTGAGTGGGATGTGAAAAGAATGGCTTGGATGTTGAATCGAGATCATGCGATGGTTCAATTGTTTTCCGAGGTTCAAGTACCGAGTTTGACGACGCGACGTCGCTGGTGAGAAGTGGTGAGATGTTGGAGAGATGAGATGCTGTGCTGCTGGTTTATTCCCGGCGACACAGCGTGACTGACCGGCGCATTCGAGTGGCAGTCACTCACAAAAAACCACGAAGAAGAAGCGCGTGCAGGCGAATGACAGTTTATTGCCTTCCAGAAACCAATTGGATCATCCAGACCCGACCTCAACGCATGCGCTAAGAGTCGCATGAGGGTTTCGATAATCAAGTCGGTCCTTGAGAGTTGAGACGATAACCCGTACTTAGTGCCAAGCAGTGAGGTGGGAACTGGACGGGAAGCTGATGCAAGTGCAGGCCGCTGCGTTGGGATCTGCAATTGGCCAATGAGCCAATCAGCGCGCCCACGTTCCACCCCCCCAGATTTTGTCTTTTTAACGCAGCACCTCTCCGCGGCCTACCCGCAGGTGGACCTCTGCTGCAAACGCGGTACGCGGTCAAGTAGGACCTTGGGAAGTGCCTACTCCTTAGCTACATAATTACCTGGTAATTAGCCAGCTCAACAGTCAACCATCGACCCCCCGCGAATCTCGCAGTCTTGATTGACTTTTCCAGCTTTACATCCGTGCGCTCGGATTTTACAAGGCAACCACGCACTGATATTAATACCGTCAAAACTCAAAAGCATATAGCGCGGCAACCCACCTCGATTCCGCCATGCCTGAACCCGCCCCGGCAGCTCCCACCGGGCCGCCCTCCAAACGGCGTCGAGTGCACGACGACAGCATCAGCTCGACACCGCAGTACGGCTCGCCCAACCCCGACCCGCTCCCCAAACACAGCCTCTCGATTCGCCGCAGCCGGCCGACCGATAGCCGTTCGCGCAGCCGAAGCAGGAGTCCCCGCACCGGCGCCGAGGCCCCCAACATGTCACGATACCGCTCCGTCTCGCCCTCGGGGACGGGCTCCCGCTCCCGCTCCTACACCACCAACTCGCGCTCGCCATCCCCGCGCTCACGGTCCCGCTCGCCTCTACGATCCAGCTCCAGCCCCAGTCCCAGTCCCAGCCCCAGCCCCAGCGTACGCAGCCGCTCCCGCTCGGCCATGTCGTCCTCCCGCCGCAGCAGCCCTTCCAAACCCACCGCCAAAGACCCATCCTCCCTGCCCCAGACGCCCCGGCCCCGATTCCGCCCACGCCTCGAACTCCGCGGGCACAAGGCTGCCATCAGCCAAGTTCGAATCTCCCCCGACGGGCGGTGGGTCGCCTCGGCATCGGCCGACGGCAGCGTCAAGATCTGGGATGCCGATACGGGCGCCCACCTCGACACCCTCGTCGGACATATGGCAGGCGTATCGTGCTTGGCCTGGGCGCCCGACAGCGACACGCTGGCCACAGGTTCCGACGACAAGGCCATCCGGCTATGGGACCGCGTCACGGCCAGCCCGCCGCACGCCTGCGGCGATGCCGCCGTGCGCAGCCATCGCGTGCTCTCGGGGGGCACGGCGCGGCCCCGGAATGCGCGCGGCGGTGGGGCCGACGCGGCCAAGCCCAGGGGCCGCGGCCCGCTGCTGGGGCACCACAACTACGTCTACTGTCTGGCCTTCTCGCCCAAGGGCAATATCCTGGCCAGCGGGAGCTACGACGAGGCCGTGTTCTTGTGGGACGTGCGCGCGGGGAGGCTCATGCGCAGCTTGCCGGCGCACAGCGATCCGGTCAGCGGGATTGACTTTTGCAGGGACGGCACGCTGGTGGTGAGTTGTTCTACGGACGGGCTGATGTAAGTGCCAGCTTCTCTTCCGTCTTGGTCATTTCTTTTCCATTGCTGACTGACCTGTAATCAAGTCGAGTGTGGGATACCTCGACGGGACAGTGTCTGCGCACGCTGGTGCACGAGGACAACCCGGCCGTCGCCAACGTCTGCTTCAGCCCCAACGGCCGCTTCGTGCTGGCCTTCAGCCTCGACAACTCCATCCGCCTGTGGGACTACGTGACGGGCTCGGTCAAGAAGACATACCAGGGCCACAAGAACAGCGGCTTCTCTATCGGCGGCAGCTTCGGGCTGGTTACGGAAACAATCGACGGGGCCATCGACGAGGACGGCGGCAGCGGCACGCGGACACAGGCGTTTATAGCGTCGCCGAGCGAGGATGGCGACATCGTCATGTGGGATGTCTGCACAAAAGCGATCGTGCAGCGAATCACGGGAGCGCACAAGGGTGTGTGTTTCTGGGTCGATGTGCATGGCAATACGATGGTCAGCTCGGGGCAGGATAAAGTCATTCGGGTCTACAGGCATACGCCGGTAGTGGGGAGAGATGGCGTAGATGAGAGGGATGGCCTTGATGAGCTCGAGACTGATGCACGCTATGCGGCCTCTGCGGATGAGGAGCTGCAACGCCAGGTTGAGGCTGACGCTGGGTCGCCTATGCAGCTCGTTAAGGACGAGCAGCTCTGACCGGGCTCAAGTCCTTACGAAGAGGTGGTCAAGAGGGTACATAATGAGGTGTC